CTTGAACTGTACTGTACTGGTCTCCAAACCAAGCCTCCACAGTACTTCACAACAACGCTCAGAACCCTAATCTTGTAGAGCGGATTAAACATCGCTAAACGGATTAAACATCACTTAAAGGTAAGAAAGGGAAAATGCTCGTATATGTCTGTCTCAAGTAACTTGACCGCACAGACACCGGCCCGGTGAGGTGGGCACATGGCCTCGCCCCCGACATCAGGACGCCACGTTTCCGCCGGCGATATTGGCATGTCTGTACCTCTAATACCCTCCACAATGTCCAAAATATATTTCATTGACAGATAGGGCATTACTATTTAGAGACAGAGACTTTAAACACACAGAAATCATCAAAAAGCCATGAGAGCTGCTCACCTATCTGTCGTCCTCACACTTCGGCCGCCATATTCACCTTCACGGCGCATGACAATCATGAGACGAACCAATCACAGCACTCGTTACAAGACTATCCGCTGGTGGGGAGAGTTGCAAGGGCCTGGCGAGCTGAAGCGTGGGGTTATTTAACGTAATTATTGCCCAGACCGCTGACAGAAGTCAGTCAGAATTGTGTTGAAGGATATTAGAAATGAACTGTTGACTGTCTTGTCGTCGATTCAATTAATACTTTCCGACGAAACCAAGTCCCAGAAAGCCGGCCAGATGATGACATCACAGACCAGCCCCCACCGCAGACGAATCACAGACATTGTTACATTCGCTATTGGCTTCAACAAAATGGCGGGAGTTTCGAAGGTGAGCAAAGTGTCGTCTGCAGTCGTCTGTCTTCTTGCACAGAAAATGTGGCAGCAATTGAGACCGAATTAAGTGGTTGTGTAGACATATACCTACATCCAGCAACTGGCTGAGACATCCTTACACTCAACTTTGTAGTGTTCGATTTTAGCAGAGGTCAGCAGGGAGAAAGTGAAATATGCAGAGAATCTGGACCCCTGCCCAGTCACCTCCCGACCCCGCTGAGATTCAGGTCCGATGTCCTGAAGCCAGTATCATCCTGTCGGTCTTGAGGAGAGCCCAAAGGAGACGTCCAGGTGATGAAGGATTTTCAGAATGACACTATTCATGTCCATCCTTTCTATCATGTGCTATTATAATATATGTAATCAATAGCCTGGGTTGAAATACACCTGGCTAATCCTTGGTTCACCACAAAGTTGCACAGAAACTCAATGTTCATACTTCTGTGTAACTACATATATTTCTAGAGTGTTTGCCGGTATTTGATATTTACTTTTTTAGTATTCATAGCATTCTCCAAAGCTGACGGTCCCTTGTTTAATTAAGAAGAGCAGTATGTTAATCACTCAAATACAAAAGTGGTCCATCCTGGTGTAAGTGGATCAAACCTTTTAATACAGCCAGTGTGTATTATGCAGCTTGTGCCTACTGTACAAAACTGGTGTGTAGTGCCTTAAGGTGGTTTACCGGTAATGCAAAACAAACAAAAGGCCATGCACAAATCACAATTCTTTTCACCATACTGGTTATGCACATAGACTTTTTTTCAAAACATCTGTATGATGTTGTCTCAGTGATACATGTGTATATTCATTTTCCAGATGGAAGAGATTACTATAGATGCTTGTACACCAAGAAATTTGGTGCCCCACCAGATGCCTCAGTATCTGGCAGCAGCCAGAGCACCACCGATTTTTCTCAGGCCACTGGCACCCAGATGTCCACATTGATGGAAAGATGTACATCACACGGTCCTTTGATTTCAACTGAACCTAGCTGGAAAGGAATCGGTTACAGTGATACAAAACATAACATCACAGCGATGTCATCAGCTCTTTCCAGTCACATCAGCTCTCAGCCTGAAATACCTGGTCACTTTCCTCAGTCAATTACCCACATTGGTGCACCAATGCGTCTGAATGTAGCTGATGTTATTCCCTCCAGTACATTGCCAAGTGAACTTAGCAATGCTTCAGGGCATGAAGCTCCTGAAACTGATTTGTACCCATTCAATAAATTGGCTGATCACAAATTAAATGGTACTACAGATCATGGTCCACTTTGTGCAAAAGGGGCAAGCAATGCATCACTTTCTCAAGAGGATGAAGCAAGTGAACCATCCCTACTTAGCTCCCAGATCGATCTCTTTCTGAGCCCGTCTTCCACACCGGCTATGGAAGGTAAGATGCCACACCTGACAAATCTGCAGCAAGCTGCAGAAGAGGAGAACTTTTCTGAAACTGCCAGTGTAGAACTGGTAGATGCAGATAGAGAGACAGGAGAATGTAGTCCTCTATTTGAGAGTTCACCCAGTCACTATGACAATGATGACAAGAAAGAAAACAAGACTACCTCTAATACAGATCCTCCACTATTGGGTGATGGTGATTCACAAAGCTCCACAGCTACAGCTAAAGAAAGTATTGGAAGTCAGAAAACTTTGAAGGATGGTGTTGAACCGGTTGAAATGAGATATACAGAAATCTGTGAAGGTCATGAAGGGGATATAATGTCAAAAGAAATACACGATACTAGTATTGACAAACAGCCTATGCAGTTGCAACTCACCAAGGACACTACAATGTCATCAAAACCCATGTTAGAAGAGAGTATGGATATGAGTGAACAGAGTTCATTTTCTCTTGTGAAACAGTCAGAGGGCAACAAAAATATTACAGCACAGTCTCCATCTTCTTTGGAAGGGATAGAGGAAGATCTTTCATTTGACATTGGCTGTTTGGTCGATAGAGATATCATGGAAAATTTTCCTCCAGGAATCTCACAAGAATCACAGTCAACCACTGATCTCCTTTTATGTCAGATGATGCCTCAATCTCAAGACAAAGGTGATATTTCAGAATGTTTACCCAAGGAACAAACCCAACAAACAGGTACGTCTGTCATTGAGGAGCCTGAGACAAAAACAAATGCTGATGCAATCCAGAGAGAAAGAGAGCCAAACATCACTAAAAATCTATCTTCAAGTCCTTGTAAAGTAAAAAACAAGGCTAGGGAACCAAGTGAACGTTTTCGTAAGACTGGAGCTGATAAGAATGAAAACAAATCTCAAGTCAAAGAGAGCAGTACACCAAATTGTTCTCATGACAGGATCCTTGCCCAAGCTCCTGGTTCAGCCATACACAAGAAACTCTTATCATCAACACCCAGCTCATTATCAGTGATAATGATTGGGGACAACAGAAGTGACACACCTGGATTGGATGCATCCTTTACCACAGATTTTGGAAAGAGACAAGATAAAGAGAAAGTTACTCCCAAATCTGTGTCTCTAACTGAGACACCAAAACAGCACAATCAGCGCTGTAAAAATAAACTTTCCACAGACATTCACACTGAGCCATCGATGGAAGGCAAGAGAGCAACACCTGGCTCAGCTATTCAGACGAAGCTACAGTTGTGGACCAAAGCAGACAGGTGATGAATCTCAGGTTTTTCTTAAAGCCTTAGAGATGATAGGTGCATAATATATGTGTTGTGTGTGTTCCTAGTCAAATACTGTATTATGAAGATAGGGCTAGACAAACTTCACTTCATAAATGAAATCTCTATTTGTGAATTGATTTTAAATGTATAGAAATTTCAGATACATGTATAACGAAATCTTACGATTGCATAATTTTGCATATGGCAAACTTGATAAAATCAATATATTCTCTAGATCTGATGCAACTCCACACATCAAAAGGACTTCAAAACCTAGCACCAGTTCAGAGGAACCACCAGCAAAGAGGCAGCTATATTCCGCACCGGCACCACACATCAACAAGAGAACATTCATCGCACCTTTTAAGGGGGAAGGAAAGCAGCCAAAGGTGTGTGAAAAGGTCTAGGCATAGGCAGGGGGCTGTTTGTATGAAATGCCAGGGTCATTTTTGTGGTTTTCAGTTCCTGAAAATGTTTCTAATAGCTAATTCCCATGCCCATAATTTGTTAGTTAAACTGCTAATTGTGACGGATTACTACATGTATTACTCTCATAGTTTCAGGGATAGAGTTTTCCCACAATTTTGGATGAAACCATTAGCCTGAATGTTGCATTCATCTATATTGCAGAAGGAAAAAACACAACAAGCTAAGGAAACCAAGTGTACAATGATAGATGTATCCAGAATATCCCAGTGTGAGAGACAGCAGGCTGTGACTGACATGTTGGGGGTAAGGGAGGTCAGCATGGCCTTGGTGTATGGTGACGGCACATCGCAGCTCAGGGAACCCACCACCAAGGGCATCCCCAAGGACAGCGACAATAAGGTACAACAACAATGTCTTAACATTGTGCCCTCACATTTGCCGGGATATACATGACAGGTATGAATTTCGTTTTACGTCATGCGTATATGTACTATTTCTTTTCCTCAGTAAGAGGGGACCAATGAAGAAAGTCTGTCTCTTGCAAGTAACAAAGACCCATCCTAAAAGAAAATAAAAATACTCATTATAAAAATCTAATGAAGTAGTACTTGTAGTCGTACTAACAGATTGTTTTGGACTGAAATTAAACTCTGCATCATCCACTGCATGTAGTTCTCTGCAAAACAACAAGAAATTACCTTCAGGCATGACTGCCCTACCAATCAACTGTCAAAGTCACTCCCCACCCACCAAGCAATTAGAACAAACAGGGACATAAACACACAACTCAGTCACCCAAAACAATGCTTCTGATCCCAGAAATAATAAACAAGGACCAAAGCATCTGTCAGGGTGCTGAAATGCCTTCCGTTGGAAAGAAAAAGACCTAATAGTATATTTTATATGGTAGATGCTTTCTTACTGGAGTTGCAACAAAATTGTATTTAAAAAAAAACAGTTTTACTATAGCTTTGCTCTTTTATCTGATATGATTTTTTATGCTATGTATGTGTAAAACATAAGGCATGTAATTGTATTTCTAGGCAGTGGGCATTGCTGTTGCTTTTCCCAGACCCTCCTCTGGAGCTGTACAGGCTTGTAGTGGACAAGCCAAGAGAATCAGGCAGCTACAGTTCATGATGTTTCCAGTTAACATGGAGGAGCAGGACTATACAACATACTGCAGGTACAGAATATTCAAAATCCTTGTGATTTACTCAGTAGAATGCTTTTAGTACTGTAGTAAATGATCTGTTGTGTATGTCTTCCAACATTCTTATGCAATTTTGATGTTCTTCAAAGCTGTTAAGTCTAAGCAGGCTGCCATTTTCTAACCATTTCTTTCCCTTTTAGAGAGATGCTGACACAGCTGATGACAAGCAAAGTCAGCAAAGTGTGCTTGGATGCCCAGGAACTGATCCTGACCATGATCTCTCACTTTTCACTGGACATCACCTCAGGTAATGTGCTCTTAAGTAGCATATTATATTACAAGACATTATAAGAGTCAAGCCCATCTGCTTTCCTCCAGTAATTTACAGGTTCTTGATTTGTCTTTTTCCATTGCCCTAGTGTATAACTGGAGCATGGTAGACCCCAAGGTTGCCGGATGGCTGCTGAATCCTGACCACCCTCCCAACACATTCACTGAAGTGGTGAAAATGCTGTGGAAAGATAATCATCAAGAATGTGATCAAGTAGGTGTTGACAGTTAACAATAATATATGATTTGTATAAATTTTGTTTAAAAAAATCACCACTCATTATTCTATTAATACTTAATGCGGCCAGCGACTATATCTATATCTGTTGTTAATTCTGCATTCGGAATTGTTTTGGTTGACTGAGCCCTGATCTTGTGTGTTGCTTTGTGCTGACATAATAGGTTGACAGCACATGGGTGGGTGAAGATTGACAGGCAGAATGACATGGAATCGTGGTTCTGTTTCAGGATGCCGATGCTACTACTCTTCTGTGCCAGGACTTGAGCCAGCTGTTAGATGTAATGGAGCTGCTTAGAAGGAGGCTCATGGTAAATATGGAGTTCTAGACTATGTGTGACTGTGGTATAGTGCATGCAACACTAGTTATTTACTTTTGGAAATAATTATTTCAAACTTAATTATCCCTTTCTTAGGACTGTGACCTACTGGACCTGTACCTCAATGTTGAGATGAAGCTAACACCTATTCTGGCAGGTAGGTATAATTGCCTAGGATTGCCTAGGATCTAGTAATACATGTATGATGGCCAAAAAGTAAGTTTCACCGGTAATATGACTGTTGACCATCTTGCAGTTTACCTGTGGCTTTAGTTTTTATATTTTTGGCAAAGAAATGGTTTATTGATGTTGTGGATGTGTGTTCTGAAATTATTTTATGTTATCCTTACAAGGCATGGAATATCATGGAATCTGTGTCGATCCACAGCGTCTAATCAACATGGGTGACATTTTGAAGGTTTGTTACATAATCTCCATCATGTTTAATGTTTAATAGCCATACAATATAGCTTTTGGATACGGTCTTTATAGCAACTAATAGTAAGATATCTTGGTGATTTGTAGATTAAATTGAAACAAATATTGAAAACATGTGTCTACCAGTTCTTTCTTCTGAAACTGCCATGCTCAAACTTTAACCTGTAGTACTGCTTATGTATGCTAGGTGTCATGCATGTCCAGTTACACAGAATGTTTGAAATTTGTACATAATCATTTGCTAACTGGAAACAATGTGTGTACATGTATTTGTAGTAACCTACAACTTATTACTATACAATATAGTTTTCCTTCTCAAGAAATATTTGATATATCATATATAGAAGAGGATTGGTATGGTGGAGTCTGATGCTTACAAATCAGCTGGTCATCGCTTTCTACTCAGTAGTCATGTGCAGCTGAGAACAGTAAGTGGTATGGATGCAACACGGTTGTGTGATCAATATTTGTTGGTGTTTTTTATATGAATATTGCATTTG